GCTCATCTCTTTCTCCCTCTCTCCTCTTCCCTCCCCACGAGGCATTTCCCCAACCTCCCAACCTTCCCATTTTCCTGGTCTTTCCAGTCGCCACCTCCCCCTCTCCCACCCTCAGGAGTGTGAGGAGATCGTTGCAGCCATGCATGCATCCCTCGTCTCCCCCTCACTCCCCACATGCCACACCCCCTCCATCTTCCCCTCTCTCCTCACCCACAGGAGTTTGACGAGACCTTTGTCGCCATGGATCACTGCTCCCCTCCGTCCATTCCTTACCCACTTTCCCCACCACTCTCCACTCCTCCAACCTCCCTATTTTCACAAACACCTGCCTTTCCCCACTGCAGGAGTTAAAGGAGATCTTTGCAACAATGGACCGCAACGGCAATGTTTGAGGCACCTAATTAATCCTTCCCTCCCCATTTCCCTAAAACCTCCCCCTCCCCCCTGCTTCCCTCTCTCCTCACCCACAGGAGTGTGTGGAGATCCTTGCAACCATGGATCGCTGCTCCTCCTCCCCTCACCTCCACTTTCCCCACCACTCTCCACTCCTCCAACCACCCTAAACACCTTCTCTTCTCCTCTCTCTCCACACCCGCAGGAGTTTGAGGAAATCTTTGCAACAATGGATCGCAACGGCGATGGGTCGATAGATTTTGAGGAGTACGTTGCGGTGATGAGCGGTTACATGGGCGAGCAGAACATGCAGCAGGACCTCATCGCCATGTACCAGCTCTTCTCCGATAAGCGAACTGTGAGTGTGCTACAGTACAAACACTACAGCACACAGGTTTATGCATACAAATCTACCTACATACTAGATAATTTTTGTGTGTGTGTGTATATATATATATATATATATATATATATATATATATATGTGGGCGGGCAGAACACGCACCAGGACCTGATTGCTGTGTACCAGCTCTTCTCTGGTAAGCGAACTGTGAGCATGCTACAGTGCACACATGTGTTAATTAATTTATATTGGATAGTTGTATCTCGGATGGCTTCCTGAGTCCTCTCATAGTCTAATGTTGACTTCTGAGATGTCTCAAAAGTTAAATCAGCTCATAGTTCAATGTTGACGCGCTGAGATTGTTGTGCACTCACTCGCTCCTACGTACGTAGTATTCATGTGCTAATTCCTGTGACAAGATGAGTGCTGACTGCTGTGTACTGACCGTGTCAATAATGTGAAACATGCCGGGAATTCTCAACATGCTGGGTATGTGTAACGCGCCGGGGAATGTGCCATGAATATGCAGGGCAAGATATCCCAGTCCACGCTGAAGAGAGGCATGTTGGACCTCGGGATTTGTGCTGGGAGTGTGCGGCCAAAAGTGGTATCTTACTTACACTGTGTGCTGTGAATGTTCCTGTGAATGCGCCCGTGAATGAGCAGGGCAAGATATCGCAGCGCACGCTGAAGAGGGGCGTGTTGGACCTTGGGATTGTCTTCTCCGATGACGAGATCAGGGGCATGTTCTACAGTGCTGACGTGGATGGTATGTTCTAGAATGCTGACGTGGATGGTATGTTCTACAGTGCTGACGTGGATGGTATATTCTGGGTGCTGACGTGGATGGTATGCTCTACAGTGCGGACACTGATGGTATATTTACCAAAGTGCAATTACAGGCATGTGCTACAGTGCGGACATGGATGGTATGCTATGGACAGTATTACAGATGCTTTGATCCTCTTTGCAGACACGGATGGTACACATACAGATGGTGTGTTCTACAGTGTGGTTACAGATGGTATGTTGTGAACAGTGCAGCTGCAGATGGTTTGAGTATATATCCCTCAGTTCTATATAATTAACCTCACACCTCGTCTGCTGGATTTCTTTATTTTTATACAGCTTCCTATATCTTCCTATTCCAGACACATGCATATGCTTGCTCGCGCCACATGTGCTCACACCCATCCAACATGCTTGCACCCATCCACACATGCTTGCACCCATCCACACATGCTTGCACCCATCCACACATGCTTGCACCCATCCACACATGCTTGCACCCATCCACACATGCTTGCACCCATCCACACGTGTTTGCACCCATCCAAACATGTCCACCTCCAATTTCTCCCTCTCCCCCCTTTCAGGCAATGGGGAGATTGACATAGATGAGTTTTCTCGCATTGCTGAGGTGGCAGGGATCTGCTGAGGTGGTGTGGAATCCATCTGAGCTGGCAGGCTCGTGCTGAACTGGCAGCGTGCACAGAGGACTAGTGTAACTGGTTTGATACCAGAAGACTGCTATTGAGTGCATTTTGTAGCCACGGCCTCTGATAGCTGCACAGCCATGTATGGTAAGCAGGATAAGCAGGTTGTTCTGATTTTCTTTTTAGCGAATCAGTGTTATATTATGGAGACAATGTAAATACAGTGTGGCAAGGCTTCTTTGTTTATGTGTGCAGCGCACCACTCTAGACTGCAAGGTAATGAAGCCTACAGGTCCTGAGACTTTCTTCCACGGAACTTGACTGCATTCACTTCACACCGTCCTCTATACTTGGCGATTTGTTAGAGGCTGCAAAACTTAGCTGCCTTGCTTGGATTACCAGATCGTGCCACGAGCATTTGTGCTTGCCAAAGGCTGTACCGAGTTTCTGTACAATGGTACCGTAGTTGAAAGTGTACACGTCTACCATGTTGCACTGCAAACAACGACTCATCATCAGCACTGATGCAGTATTGGAATCCATCGGCCATGCACACATTGATACCCCGCATCCACAGTTGACCAAGTCGTATCCAGCGCTAGCACCCCTATCCAATGCTTCTCAACGTTACTTCACATTTCAGACCAGGAAACAAGCACTCCACTCCAAACTTGAGAACTCACAAGTGCCCATTTTTTCTTGAAACAGCAGATTGCCACTCCTGGTAAGCTACTTTTGTCGATTTGCCAAATCCGAATCTCAGGACAGATGCCTCTGCAGCAGCGTGTGGTGCCGTGATCCTTGCAGTAACTTCCTCCTTGTGTGCTACTGATGTGGCACGGGCCTTGACTGGCACAGACATGGGAACCATTGCTGCCTGTCTTGAGCTAGAAGGCCTGGGAATGCGTGATGCACTGCTTGCAAGACGTCTTAGAGCATCTTCACCTGTAGGCGGTGTGACTGCCGCTCCACTGGCAAGTGTTGCCTTGGCTGCTGCTTGCACACTCCGGGTCCTTCCACGTGCTCCCTTGGTCGTGGACCCATCACAGCTGACGGCTGGCGACTTGTCAGCAGCAGGGATCTGCTTCATATGACTGTCGGGAGGAGTAGAAGATTCAACTGACTTCTCAGCAACAGCCAATGTCTTCCCTGGCTTCTTAACAGCATTGTCAGACTTGGCTGTTTCCAAGAGAGAATCATGCAGCTTCACTGGCTTCACAAAAGCATCAACTGCTGCTGTTGATTTCTTCGGCACGACACCAACAGACTTCACTGGCTGAGACGCAATCTTCCCCGATTTCTCGGCAGCATTGGATGGCTGCACTTGTTTCCCATCAGCAGCAGCTGGGTTCACAGGCCATTTGGCAGAATTATGTGACTGCAGAGACCTCTGAGCAACACTGAGTGGCCTCATGGAATTCTCAGTCACCGGCACCTTCAAACTCACATGAACCTCTGGGCGAGACTGATTCTTGCAAACAACAGCGGTTTGACCTTGAGATGGCTTATCAGCAACGGGAGTAGATAGCTTTATGTCTTGAGCGTCTGCTCTCCCCCTCATAGCGACCTTGCCTGAAACAACCTTTAAATTGCTGGTGCTCCGGTCGCTGCTGGCACTGCTCCTTGTCGGAGTGCTTTCACCCGTGGAGCTCACAGCCGATAGTACACTGCCGCCGCTGCTGCTACTGCTGCTGTCGTGGGTCTTATCCGTGCGAGCAGCAACTTCAAGGCGCTGCGCTTGGGGAACATAGGGCGGTGACGATGCTGGTGGAACATACAGCCATGTCTGATCCTCTTCTGAGTATTCTCGCCAAAACTCATGCTCCAAGAATGCCTCAGATTCGCGCAGAGAAACAAATGGCTTTGGAGGAGGCAGATGGTAAGGCACGTGGAGCCATGTTTTCTCTTCTTCAGAGAATGAAGCCTCGAAGTCAACCAGGCCATCCTCGTCATAAACATAGGCCCGCGCAGTCATGATAGCACCAGGATTCAAATCAGTAACCCCTTAAGTCCGGTTAATACGGCAGGAGAAGTTGATGAGTAGGAGGATCCGGTTCGCAAGTCTGAAAAAGAGGAACTAGGATTCGCCTTTTGCAGCCCATCTGCAGGAACTCCTTCGGTGAGCAGCAGGAAGGAATTCACCAGGAAGACGCGCGTACAATCTCAAGGAGGCCATCGTAACGGGAAACGCTTGATTTCGTTGTGCCTGGAACTGGCTTCGCTTTGCTGAGCGCGGTGAGCTCGAGGGGACCTCAAAGAGCGAAGAAACTTGGGTGTGCCTGGAGTGCATAATCGGCCTTGTCAAACACCCGGGTGTCCCTTCTTGGGGCAAGATCTATCCGTTCCGTTTACTTCCTTGGCGCGGGCGGACAAGTTCGCGCTATGCGAAAGCATTGTCGAGGGGAGCGACAAATGACGAGCATTTACAGACTGCCATAGGAGTTCGAAACCACCGTGCATCGCATGCATGATTGGAAAGGCAAGAATCTAGGGATTGGCAGCAAACGTGCTTCGCGGCTATCATGCTCGTGGATTGATTGCTACGAAATCGAAGGGTGGTTTGTGCCTGATGTCCTGAATTCCCTAGCTCGGAGGGAAATGCATTGGCCATGGTGCTACCTCCGAGCCATGTGCTCAAGCGGAATGATCGAGGATGCACACCCGTTATGAAATAAGCTGTAATGCGTTAACCAAATGCCGACAGTTAAATACTACTTAATCTGCAAGTCACACATCATGTACGGTAGAACAAATGTGCACAAACATGTCCGGCAATATATACCTCACGATACTTTAGATACAAAATAATGCCCAGCCTGTTCGATTTTCTACAGCACTGCACCAACACCATCCTGGCTGCTAAAGCACACATATGCCATTGCCAACCAGCGCTGCAGCACCACAGCCCTCTCCTTCAATTTCTTCCTGTTTCCCAAGTTCCCTTTCGCATTCTCCGCCGCACCATCCTCTCCTGCAATAACTCGATGTCCTTTTGGGTCCATTTTCCTCCACCCCTCCCCTTTCTCCACTTGCTTCAGGCAGATTCCTGCTTCACCAAACACCCCTTCGCCTTCATCCGCATCTCCCTCCTCCTCCCCATCCCCTCTGCTCTGCACGTCCAGTGCAATGCACTGCATGGCTGTGCACACCAGAGCTGCACACCTCCATGGATTCGCCTGGTGGGACAAGGGATGGCTCGAGTCACACCCAAGCTCTGCAGCAGCACCGCTGCTCTCAGCAAGAGCAGCAGTAGCAGCACAAGCGTTGGCGGTGTCGACAGCAGCAGTGGAAGGAGCTCGTCGTTTTAAAAACATGCATGGAAGATTCGGGGATAGCAAGCGGGGGAGGATGGTTGGGGGTGTGCATGCGTGCAGCGTTTGATGAAACGCTGCTGGCGATTGGTGTCCAAGCGGAGAAATTGGGATCGAAATTGTGGATCGTGCTGTCGACGTTGATAGCGGTGTTGACGCTGCACAGGAAGAGGTGGACGATGCAGATAAGAATGAGAAGGTAGAGGTGGTGGTGGACGTGTGTGTGGGTGTGACCACGGGGGCAGTGGGTGTGAGAGGTTCGGAGCACGAGCTATTGGGCGAGCAGCTGTTTGGTGAGCAGCATTTGGGCGAGGTAGCGTTGGGTGAGGAGGGATTGGGAGACACATTGCCACTGCCACTGTCAGGAGAAAGATTGTTGCTTTCAGGAGAACTGATACTGCAGTCATCAATGCTCCCATATCCATAACCGCTTCCCAAGATACTCTTGCTGCCACTGCTGCTGGAGGCACCAAAGTAAGATGGGTCAAAAGCAGCAGCGGCAGCAGCAGCTCCAGTGGCAGCAGCACAGACTCCCAGCCCCATCTGCTCCACATGTGCCTGTGTTGTCACAGCACAGTCGCTATTAGCATTCTCCTTATCGCTATAGTCACCGTAGCCATTGTACCACTCGAGCACTGCTTCCCCTGCCGCCTCTCCCTCGCACGCCACCGCAGCAGCTCCGACATTCAACCCACATTCCTGAAGCACATTCTCTTCAATCCCACTCCTTTGATGCACGTTTCCTGAAGCCTTGTGTTGAAGTGCACGCTCCTGCGATCCACTCCTAACCGCAGCCGCAGCAGGAGAATCCTGGTTACCATCACAACCCCATCCTTTCCTCCTCCGCCTCCTACCTTCACCATTCCCCTTGCACCCGTCCCCATCTCCCTCTCCTCTCTCCCCTCCCTCACCTCCCCTTTGCGTCACCTTTCCGACAGTAGCACTTTCCCCATACGACGCCCCGTCACAGTCGCTGCTGCCGGACTCAGAAGAAACATCCACACCTGCTCCCAGCAGTGCATCTACAGCACCGCCTGCTGCCAGCAGCATCTCAGCAGCACCTCCTCCTTCATCCCCCGACCCTTTTCCTCCTTTTCCCCCCACGCCGGCTCCATCTCTGCGCCACAGCAGCAGCAGCTGCAGGCGCTGCCGCTGCAGCTGCTGGTTCTGCTGCTGCAGCTGCTGCACCCGCTGCTGCAGCGCCCACACCTGCTGCTCCCTGCTATCCACATGCCTCGGCCTATGCACGTGCCACTGACTGCCCTGCGTGTGCTGCTGCTGCGTCTTAGCCAGAATTCCACGTTGCCGTGAGGACTGCGATTGCTGCTGCTGGAGCGCCTGATGCTGGGGCTGCACTTGCTGCTGCGGCTGCTGCTGGTGCTGCTGCTCCATGCTGCCTTCCTGAGGCTTCACCTGGGGTGTTGTCGTGCTCTGCTGCACCTCCTGCTGCACTGCTTGACTCTTCTCTTCCTCTCCCTCACCTTCCCTGCTCCTCTCCTCCAACCCCTTCTCCTCCCTCTCCTCAACCACTACTCTCACCTCCTTTTCCACCTTCTCCCCCTGCTCCTCCTTTCCCTCCTCCGTCCCCCCTCTCTTCCCTTCCCCACCCACACCCTCCTCTGCGTTTACTCTCTTCCCCTCCACGCCACTCACCCGTTTCACACCTGTCCGCACGCCCTTCTGCCCATTCCCCCTTTTTGCCGGTGTGGGGCTGTGCGGGTGTACCTCGGAAGCGCAGGCCTTTGCTGGCCGGCGCTTGGCTGGCTTGTGGACGACTGGAGGGGCATGCTTGGGCGCGGAGAGTGACAGTATCGAAGGGCGATAGTCCATGCGGATTCGCCGCGTCATGGCAGAATACCTGGGAGAGACGAAGAGAGGGATAATAAGGGAAAGAAAGGAATGGGCAATAGTGGATGGGTTGGGTTGGGTTGGGCTGAGAAGGGCGAGCGGGTGATACTCCATGCGGATTCGCCGCGTCAAGGCAGAAAACCTGCGAACAACAGGCTGAGGGATAACAGTGTGAGGGAAAGCAAGGTAGAGGCGATTCTGGATGACTTGAGTTTGGTTGGGTTGGGAGGGGCAAGTACGATTGCATGAGACTTCTTGCATTAGCAGGCAATAGTGGTTGAAGAAAGGCTGCCTCACCTGAGATTTGTGGCACCGCAAACCTCACCTGAGAGTAGGGGGCACCACAACACTCACCTGAGAGTGGTCTTGCTGACGTGGACGTCCTGAGGGTTGATACAAAACAGCACAGCACAGAAACCACCACTGCTTCCCCCGCTGCCACTGCTAGACCCGAAAAAGGGGGCACCTCAAACCTCGCCTGGGTGTGGGTGCACCAAAACACTCACCTGAGAGTGGTCTTGCTGACGTGGACGTCTTGAGGGTCGATACAGAACAGCACAGCACAGTAACCGCTGCCACTACCGGACCTGCCTCCCAGGCACGGTTGCAGCAGCCTCGTCAGCAGAGACCGGCGGTACGGCGGGAGGCCCGGCCGAGCCTGGCTGAGGTGCGTGAGGACGGAGGTGAGAGCGAGCAGGCTCTTGTTGATGCTCTCCGTCTCCCTCCTCCTCGCCTCCCTCTGCCCCACCCGCCTCGAACCCCCCACCTGCCGCTGCTGCCGCTGCTGCTGCTGCCTCTGCGCATTCTTCCCTTGCTGCTCCTTATACTGCTGCTGTGTCTGCTGGTACTGCTTCTGCCGGTGTGCCAGGGGCGGCACAAGCGGCCCCTTGGGAAGGCCGGTAATGAGGGGCACTACAGGGCTCTCTCCCCCCCACCATGGACCCTCCTGCTGCTGCTCCCTCCCTCCTGTTGTTCTTCCTCCTGCTCCTGCTCCTGCTCCTGCTCCTGCTCCTGTTCCTGTTTCTCCTGCTGCTGCTGCGGCTGCTGTTGCTGCGTCTTCTCCCTTGCAGCTCTCGCTGCCTGCTAGGTCCACCAGGTACAGCATCCCTTCGCTATAAAGCCCTTCGTTATACTGCCCTTCATTCCCCTCGACAACGATCTCTTTTCCCTCTGCTCCACTCACCGGCAGCGTTCTTCTAATCCGAAAAACGTAGAGCATGTGGGAGCGGCTGCTCTGCTTGTTCCTGTTCGTGCCCCGCACCTTGCGCCTCTGCCCTGCCAGCTCAAACGCCACGGCTGCCTCTTCTACTGAGTGCAGCTGCTGCTCCGTTATAAGCTTCCTCCCTGCTGCGTGTAAGAGACTGCTGCCAGAAGTGCTCTTAGAGCTGTCACTGCGACTGCTCCCATTCTCCTTCACTTGCACAGAGCTGGGTTTTACTCCTTGCAGCAAGTCAACGGCTCTTTCATTGTAAATCTCCACCACCGATAGGAAACACAACAACGGTGGCGATTGATTTGCTGCTGGAGACCCCCCATCGCCTGAGAGCGTTGACGTGGTGTTCCCCACCGCTGCTGACTTGTCTGGTGCTGGCTGACGCTGCACCACTGACGTGGACTGTTCCAGTGTTCCCACGGTTTCACGGTCTGATGCATTGACGTCAGCACTCTGAAACCTGGCACGAAGATGAGACACGTCATCACTCTGTGCTGCTCGGAAGACATCTGCCATGGCATGGTGAAAGACCCCCGCTTCCACGTTGCTTCCGCTGATGGTATGTGTCTTGCCTGTGCCTGTCTGCCCGTACAACAGAACCACCGCTCTGCACCCCGCCACAGCCCGCTCCACCGCTCCCTTGCAAAACTCGGTGTATACCTGCTAGACAGGCAGCAAGGAGATGGCAGGTTCAGGTTCAGGGCAGTCAGATAATCAAGCTGAGAAGATGGGTAACCAGGACTTATAACCTGCATTGGTAACCAGGAGGACGGTGACCAGGACTGGTAACCAGGAATGATGACTAGGACTGAGAACCAGAACTGGTTACCAGGACTGATTGTCAAGACTGGTAAAAACCAGGAACGGTAACCAGAACTGGCAACCAGGACTAGTAACGGGGAACGCTAACCAGGACAGGAAACCACAACAAGCAGGTCCTATGAAAAGGGACGGGGATAGGAGCCTCGTATCCATAGTTAAGGTGGACTCATTCATAAAGTGGAATCAGAACTGAAAGCGAAATATATGTTAAGCAACGAGTAACAAGTATTTCTGGCTTGTGCATCGAAGGGAAAGAGCGCACCTCGAAATTGGACGAATCATAGCCGAACACGTGGTTGAACTCGAAGGTCAGGGCCTTAGCAGGAAGGGGAGCAGTCGGCTGAAGTGTGTGTGAAACGCGTGAGGGATGCGACGAGTGAGGCGCGGAATTGGAGGAGGAGGAGGTGGTGGAGCCTGGAGTGGGCTGCGGCGACGGACACGGCGTTAACGCGTTGGGATTGCGTGCTGCGATGACGGTCTGATGAGGGAAACGAAATAAGAAACCTAAGGGGAAAGGTAAAGTAATGAGGAAGAATTTACGCCAGGAAAGAAACTTATTGCCGTGACAAATAAGGTCAGAAAGGCGTCAATCGTCGCGATTGCGACGGTTTGACGAGGGAAGAACAAGGTACACGAGCAGTAGGGATGATGTTGGCTAGGAAGGAAACTCTTAGCGCGCGATGCGCTCTATGGAGAAACGGAGAATAGCAGGAGCACAGGAGCGGTATCGACGAACAGAACCTCCGGAGACGAGACTTTTGAGTTGTTTCAAACGCCAGACCGACCAACAAACGTACATTGGCAGTTACAGCCCAGGCGAGCGGTCCTGCTCGCGATGGCGGTCGCAGGCGACATGCGACCTTCACTCGCTCGCTGAATCCTTGGTCAGATGCTGAAATGGTTCTAGGAACCGCCGTCTCCTGCTCGTTTTCTCCTTCTGAAACGCCTAAGACCGTCGCCATGACTAGGACGGCTCGATCCTACTTCAGAGACGTAACAGTCGAGCAGTCTTCGCAATCTGCTGTACCGTCTCGCGGCGAAAAGCGTAAAGCGTTCTTCCATGATGACTGATTTGAACGACGCGAAGAGAGGTCCGCGAATTCCGCGCGCTCGGACAGATTCCGATGTCTGCGGTAGTGTTCTGCCTTGGCGGCTGATGGATTTGCAAGCTAGGTCAACGTGCGGTACAAAACGGTTGTGTCAGATATTATAATGGTTGGAGCAAAATGAGCTGGTGTCGCACGACCTGACTCACGACTCCAACCGATAAGGACTCCGCCCCGCATACGTCGTGTCGGATCGCATGAAGTCGCAACGCAACTCTCGAGTCAAGCGAGACTCCAGAATTCCCAGCCGAGCCTGTCACTGGCTGACCCGCAAGTCACGAGGGTGTGGTTTGGGGTGCTTCGGTTAAAGGTGCACCTCTACGGTGCGGAGCACATGCTTCATCTATTCACCAAGAATATTTAATTGTGATATTGATGTGAGCCCCAATTCTTTGTTGATCAGATCGTCATTGCAGTCCCTTCTTAATCCTCATCTCTCACTGAAATTACGTGCTATTTATAAAATATTTCAAAGTTATTGTGTGTGTGAATTTGTGAAAGTTCTTTTCTTAGCAACTTATCAAGATGTGTAATACTAGTACATACATCAATCATCTTTTTCTAGCATCTAGGGAGAATGAAACCTTAGCCCCCCCTACACCAGCTTTCCCATCTTGTAGCTCCGCTCCCCCTTGCTCCTTCTTTACTCTTGCTGCAGCTTCCCCTCCCTTCCCCCCTCCTCCCCTTCCCCCTGCCTTCCCTCCTGTGTCTCCGTCACGCTGCCTCTTGTGCGATCCTGGAGTATCAATAGGGAAAAGATAACAGGCAACGGGGAAGGTCCAACTCACGTGTTCACGACATGAGCCCAACAGTTGGTGAGTGCACGTGCTACAGACACTAGGCAAAAAACTGGATTAAATGACTACAAAGACTGCCACCAATCCCCTACACCTGACACAAGCGCAAACAGGGCATGGCACGTACCAAGAGCAGCAGCTGGGGGCAGAGAGAGAGAGAGAGAGAGATCTGTCTGCATGCTGCTTGACTTCATGGGTGCCTACAAACACTAGCTTGAACAACGGACGGCTACCACGTAAAGCGTACCATGAGGTTGACAGGGCATGGCACCCACTACATACCGCGAGCAGCAGGGCCGGGCAGAGGGACAGCGATCTGCACGTTGGGCTGCAGTAGGCACTCCTCACGGGGGAGTGCATAGACTAGCTGACGTGATAGACACCTACCACCACATACCACCGCAAACCACCACATACCACCACCTACTACCACCGACCACCCGACACAAGGGTGGACATGGCACCTATCACGTACCACGAGCCGCAGGGCCGGGCAGAGGAACGGCGATCTGCACGTTGGGCTGCAGCAGGCACTCGGCCTCGGGTGGCAGTGCAAAGAGCCCAGAACCGGCTATGGGCGGGATGGGCACGGCATTGCGTGCTCGAGCGAGCTCCATGAGCACCTGAGAGGGACGAAACGCGATGGGTAAGGCGAGGAACAAAGTGAGCGAGAGCAGATAAAGTGCAAGACGCTTTAGCATGGCGTGAACGGGCCAGTTCCTTGAGAACTTGAGAGGGGAGAAGTATGGATGGAAGAGAGGAGCGAACAAGGTGAAGACACTTGCAGTACAAGGCAACTCACTCAGGTGCATTGGCATGGCACTGCGTGCATATGCCAGCTCCATGAACACATAGTGGCAGAGGTGAAATATCACATGGGTGAAAGGCGAGGCAAGGTGCACAACAAGAAAGATGCTTTCTATCTCTCTGAGGGCCAGCTGTGAGAAGGAGGAGGAGGAGACGTTGGCCTGCACGGCCAGGCGCACATCGTCCACCTCAGAGGGTGTTTTGAATTGACTCAGCTGCCCAACCCCCATTCTCTCCTTAAATGCGGGCCTTGGGCCTTTTCCCAGTCACAACCTTGGCCCCTTTACTCCCCCAAACCTTGGGGCCATGTAGCCGTTCCCACTCACTGCTGTGCCCGCGTCTCTCGCTCCTTGCATCTCTCACGTGCATGCTGCTCTGCTCTTTGTTCCTGCCTCTCTGGGCGGTGGCTGGGAGAGGAGAAAGAGGTGGAGGAGACCTTGACCTGTACAGTCAGGCGCACATCGTCCACCTCCAAGGCCGCGTGCCCCGCATGCTCAGCGTACACCCAGTGTTTGAGCCTTGAGTTGGACACAACCTACGACCGTTTTCCCCTCACGGCCGTTTGATTGAGCTTCCGTACACACCGCTGTGCCCCTTGCTTTTAGCTCATCCGTGTGTGCTTTGCTGCTTACCTCTCTGGGCGGCGGCTGGGAGAATGAAGTGGAGACCTTGGCCTGCACGGTTAGGTGCACATCGTCCACCTCCAGCGCCGACCGCACCATATGTTCCCTTGAATCTACACCCTCCCCCCATTTCCATCGTGTACACTGTAACACTGCTGCTTACCTCTCTGGGCGGCGGCTGGGAGAAGGAAGTGGACACTTTGGCCTGCACAGCCAGCCGCACAACGTCCACCTCCAGAGCCGCGTGCCCCGCATTGGCACCTTGAATCTACCCCACTTCCCCGCCTCCCTCCCTCTCCCCCCTCCCCCACCCCACATTGCATGCTGTCACCTACCTCTCTTGGCGGCGGCTGGGAGAATGAAGTAGAGACCTTGGCCTGCACGGCCAGGCGCACATCATCCACCTCCAGGGCCGCATGCCCCGCATGCTCCGCGTACACACGAGCCTCGCCCAGCACGTCCGTCATGTATCGATAGGCGAACTCTAGGAGCTGGTTATCAGGGAAGGAGCGGGATATGGTGTAGCCAAGGAAAGGAATAAACGACTTGGGAAGCGGAACGAAGCTGCATGCTCCGCGTACATGTGGGCCTAGCTCAGCACGTCCGCCATGTAGCGGTAGGCGAACTCCAGGAGCTGGTTTGGGTGGCAATAGGATAGGATGGGGTAGGGGAAACGGAGTGGGAACACGCGTACACGCGGTAGGCAAACCCCGGATGGTGGTGGTGGGTGGGAGGGAGGGAGGGAGCGGGATTGGTAAGGGTGTGGGGAAGGGATATAAAGGGGAACGAGTCTGCAGGCTCTGAGTACACGCGGGCCTCGCCCAGCACGACCGTCATGTTGCGGTAGGCGAACTCCAGAAGCGGAACGTGGAATGGGGTACCAGGAATGGGAACAGGGAAGATATGTTGAAAGGGAAAACGAAACGCGAAACTGAAGGGTGGTGAGAGCGAGGTGGACTCGCATCTTCAATCTCAGTCTAGAAAACATCATCCTTTAGATGCACACAAGCCAGATTCTGCTGCTAGTTGAACAGATAATCTCGCAACCCTGTTTTGAAATGAAGTTCTCGTAAGCATGTCCGACAACTCAACAAAGCATGCTATAACGTTCGCGTCGGAAATCGGCCTTCCTAAATCTGTCACTACAGTCACACGTGCCTGGTGGACGACACGTGGCTCGTAATCTTCCACACCCATCGACTTCAAAATGCTTGCGACCACTTTCGCGTCGCGCGGAACAGGCTCGAAGTGCTTATCCGCCATGTGTGCTGACCAAAGACCTCCTTATAGTCGAAAAGGGGATTTGTAATTGACGACACTAGAACGCGCTGCGAACCAGCAATGAGGAGGCGCTGGAACCGCGGTGTAGCACTTGTAACTTGCGGAAACGACCTGCGCTCGAACAACAGCTGCCTACGACCTAATATGTAATGCGGAATTAGCGTTACACACGCTATCGCCAAACCGCTAGACAGCACGACATATTTGTCAAGTCACTTTTTCGACATTCGCTTTCGTCACTCTGGAGGTGAACCTCTTGGCACGACGACAGCATATGGAGGCGGCTAGTACGTACAAGGCCTTCATCAATTTCCGGTGCTAGTATAGATGCTAGTTCGTAGAAGCACAAGTTACTGCGATTGCGATTGTACAAACGAACTGTTGACAGGGTGCAAACGAACTCTTGCGATTCTGTCAGCCTCAGCATGAATGCGTCGAAATCGAGTGCGAAATGAATTTGAGTGATATTTGTTAGTGATGATTCGCTCCCGTGCTCGTTGTTTCGATGGATTTGTTACACCTGGTAACCGGACTAGCATGTAGTTCCATGAAAAAATTTGGATGGGTCGCCGTCAGTCTAGTGTCCCCACCCCGTTCAAATACAGCGATCTGTCCCTGAACTGGCATTCTTGCATTTCCACATAAGGTCCAGCCATGACTGGCTTTACCGTTCTCCTGCTTTTCCAGCTTCTATGGCTCGGAGGTAAGGTTTGGTAGTAGTTCTTTTGTCCGACGATAACTATAGACGTAAGGTCTCTGACGTTTCCTGTCTTTTGCAGCTGTTGCTGGTCAGCGAACAGTATGTCCAGCAAACTTCAACAGCGTCATGAGTAACGATGTGTCTTCTTGTAAAGGCTTGGTTAAGAACCCCGAATCCTGCTGTCAGTCGCTTCGAAAGATGGAAACTAACATTCTCTCTGCAAGCTACAATAACGGATCTGCCGACGCTTTGAAAATTGTCGGGAGTCCGTCATACAATAATGCTTGTCGTAACACCTTCCGCACGGTTTTACAGAAGAAAGGGGTAACGGTGGATGTCTTTGGCCTCTGTAGCGGTTATTGGCTGTTCCCTCTTGCAGAAAAGAACATCACCAAAAGCACTTGTCCTTTAACAAGCTACGAAGATGTCGGTTCTGTTGTTAGCTACCGATCATTGTCAGCTTCATGCAATAACGCGAAGTGCTCCAATCCTTCGACTCAAGCATCGACCTCCGCCTGTGGCCAAAGTATTCTCGATGCGGCCATTATGCTGACAGAAAACGATTCTCAGATCAGCGACTGGTAAGTTTCTGTTATTGAATATCAACGCATTTCGCATACCCTTGAATCATGACATTCCATTGCAGTTACTACGTCGTCACAATGAGACTCGCGCAAGCGCACTTCAAGAGCGTCTACAAATCCGTGTTCTTCTTGTGCGACGCTGTGCCTCCACTCGCTAATGTAAGAATTGCTCGTTTTAAGTCTTTCATTCAGATTCTAACTTGAAATACGCAGGCTTCCATTAATTTAACCGCTATATCATCACCGCCTCCAGTGGCTGCACCACCTGTCCAAGGACCAGATGCATCAGCTCCATCGCCTTCGTCAAACCCGTCGTCCCCTGGACCAGCACCTGCCCCTTCATTGGTAGCACCTTCTTCCAAACCTGCTCTGGCACCTTCGGCAAAAGCAAACTCAACAAGGCATGCACCATCTTCCGCGCCAAGTCCAGCACCAGCAGGCTCTACTAGCCCAGCTTCAGCTCCAAGTCCAGCACCATCAAGCTCTAAAAGCCCAGCTTCAGCACCATCTCCATCACCTACCAATAAGACGATTGGTGTACCTGGATCGCTCAACGAACCCCAAGAACCTTCAGGTAACGTCCTGCTGTCATTATGTCAATCGTATTTCCATTGCTCAACCTGTGTTTTACAGGTTCAAACACAGGTTCCGTGGCTAAAACAAAGGGTGCATCTTCAGGAACCGGTTCAGCGTTTTCAGGATTTATTGTTGTGCTGGTTATGTTATGCCTATGGTAAAAGGGGAGAAAGAAGTGGGGAACTGTAGACTGTAAAGCGGTGGAGAAGCTTGGTACGCACATGCAATGGTGAAATTATTTGTAGGGAGGTATGGCATTATGGCAGGGAATAAGTGCTACCAAGCAATGCGTTGATGCTTCTTTATGAGTAAACTCCAATTGTATGAAGTATTGTAATGAATTTTGTATGTGACACATAATGAACTGCGGAAGTCACAAAACTTCAGCAAACCGTTTCTAAAAGCGAACCAACACTGTAATGAGAGCAGGTCCTACGAAAGCCGCCAGACAATCCACAAGAACGCGAGTCTGTATTCCACGTCCGTTTCGTGTACATCCACGCCACCCGAATCCTTCGCTTTCTCTTCTGCGGTTCGATCTAGCATTTTTCGTCGTTCTGTGAAATACTCCGTCATCGATTATGGACGCGGATCAGAAGCGAGCGAGCTTTGAGCTGCAGCAGTTTCTGGAGCAGGAGAAGCAGAAGGCGATGCTGAATGAGCTGGTGGCGAAGCTCACGGAGGTGTGCTGGGACAAGTGCGTTACGGCCGCGCCGGGAACCAAGTTTAGCGGATCGGAGTCTTCCTGCCTAAGTAACTGCGCGCAGCGGTATCTTGATGTCAGCGGACTGGTCGTGCGGAAATTCCAGGGCATGCAAAGATGACGGCTGTGGGATCGGGGGTTAGGGAGATATCAGGATTTTGGGACGTAGGGCGTCTCAGATGTAGCGTATCTGTCACCAGAAACGTGGGCGTTAGATTGATGGCTGATCAATAGGTTGTATTTGGCTTTAAAATGTGGAATTAGAGAGTGATGATTGAGTTTGCTCCGTTCGCTCTCTCTCCATCGCGTCCTTCACCGCCCGCCAGGTCCTCACCGCTCTTTACCCTACCCGTTTTCTGAGCCCGCACCTTTCCCCCGCCTTCTCCCCTCTATTCTCTCTCTTTTCCCCTCATTCCACCCTCCCTTTCCCCACCGTCTCTCCCTCCCTCCTCTCCCCCTCACTGTCTTCCTATTCTCCCTCCACCTTTCCCCACCTCCCGTACTTGATATCGTCTAGCTCCGGATATAAGCGCATATGCGCTTACAATAAAATCAGTTTTTTTAGGGGTGGCGCTTGTAATCGAGTAACGGCCATAAGCGCCGGCGCCTATACGATGTCAAAAATGAATTTTGCTTTTAAAGGTACGAAATTGAAGCCCTCAATATGGCGAACAAGGCCATGTGATGTGCGCATGGGATCGTGCATGAAATTCCACCGAAAAACAGCCGCGACTCAATTTCCCACCGCACAAACCCTGTCCCGGAGGAACGCACCTGGCAGCGATGACGTGCATTCTGCCGTGCGGCCCAATAGCAATGTCATGCGCTGCCAGGGTGGAACATTTCACCCGAACCTTCGAGAAGGGGGTGGAATCTCCCTGCCAGCGCAGCAGATTCGTGCCGCGATTCCCTCCTCTGTGGGTTTAGGCAGGGGGGGTACCAGACTATCCCTGAAGAGGATCTCGAGGCGCACACCAGAAGGGGTCCACTCCAAACCCTCATTTCTTCTCCCATTCTCTCACTTTCACCTTCAGATTCTTGTTCTCTCCCGCCTGGCTGCGGAAGCCATGGCGGAATTCTCAGGCACTCATTTCTTGTTCAAGAAAAAACCAAGCCGTAAGCCCGCCTTTGTAGTTGACGAGGACGGATGGTACTCCCGTGTCCCACCTAGCCCACCACAGCCACCGCTGCCTCCAGCGCCGCCTGCTCCTCCTGCTCCTCCTTCGCCTCCTGCGCCTCTTGCGCCTCCTGCTCCTCCTCAACCTGCGCTGGTGTCTTCAATTCACACTGGGATTCCGCCCGTGCTCACGCTTTTACAACCATCGTCGTTCGACAAGTACCTATCGGAGCCAGAGTCGAACAAGCCCTCAGATGAGTGGGTGGCTGTTGAGTATGTGCCAGGACAGCGCTGGGGCCGGCCCGACGATTGTACGTGGGACGAATCTGCAGTCGGCGCCGACGACGAGCTCCCCGACGCTGAGGAGGACTGTCACGAGGAGGGCGGCGATGGCGCCGAGGGTGGCACAGAGGCTGGCACCGAGGCCGGCACCACTGAGGATGTGTTTCCCGAGGGTGCGCCGGGCGCCGACGAGGACGACGGTGTTGAGTACTGGTCACGCGACGGGCTCCCTGAGAAGTTGCCGATACCTACCTACCCTCCTACTAATCGCAAGCGACCCCACCCTTCTACACAGAACCGTGATGCCCGCCCCCCCTCTCCCAGGCATACCGTATACTCCCGGACAAAACACCCCCCCATAATTGTACACCCCAGGGTAGCTTGTGCGGGGTGGGTGTTATGATAGACCTCGTTTCTACTATACCCCCATTTTTTGCTGATTTTCTATAACACCCCCCTTTTCTTACGGATTCATTATTATAGTCGTTAACGAGTAGCTGCAATACGGAAGAATATCGTGTGAATTTCTCCCTCAATGAAATTTCGCGGTACATTCAAAGGCAATCTGCCGAGATTTGCCCCCTCCCACTATTTCTCTGTTGCCACGTGCAGGTGAATCTTCCGTTGCAAGTGGCAAGAGAGGTGTCACATGGCATTTTCGTGAGGGCGATGAAGTTCGAGGCCGAAACTGACATTCGCACCTCAGGCAGTGATGCTAAAACGACCAGCAAAACACCCACATTGACTAATTAAAAAAACACTAACACTAAAATATGCCATATGTTAAGACCCGGGTATTATGTATTTTTTTCCTATGAGGAGACCCCCCCCATTTTTTCCTTGTATTTTTAGCTATACCCTAGGGTGTTATGTCCGGGAGAATACGGTAAGCTCAACGATCACAAGCGTCAGGCCTATACCGCCGCCGAGAAACTGAAGTACGTCGCGCTGCTGCAGGTCGCGGTTTCGGTGCGTGCTTTGGCCCGCGAGAGCGGCATACACCGCAAGTGCCTCAGCAACTGGAAGCGCTCTGCGGATTTCCTGAAGGAAGCTCACTCCGCGCGGAAGCGGATGCACGGTCGCGGGAGATCGTCGTGGTACCAACCGATGGAGATGAAGGTGTACGAGCGTCTCCTCGAGTGGCGCCGCAAAGGAACTGCCGTGTCGGTCGGCCGCCTGCAGGAGTGGTCGAAGGAGTTTATGAAGGAGCTCTACCCTCAAGAGAAGTGGAAGGGCAGTCAAAGGTGGTCGGAACGGTTTCGGAAGCGCTGGAATCTAAGCGTCTGCATGAAGACAAGGGTTGCACAGAAAACCGCCGCTCGTAAGCCCTCGATTTCATAGTCTTGTGTAATTAACCCATGTGATGTATTTATTGGACCCGAGTGTATCGCCCTGTCTCCCACCGTATCGCAGATGTCGCGGCGCAGTGCAGGAACTTTTGGCAGTTCGTCCGAGACAAGCGACGCGAGCGCGGCATCGAGACCACGTGGATCATCAACGCCGACCAGATGCCTCTGTGGCTGGAGATGCCCGCCACCACGACCGTTGAGCAAGCTAGCGTTCGCTCGGTGCCCATCAGGAGTGCCGGGTACCAGAAGGAGCGCGTGACCGTGATGCTGGCCTGCACAGAGGACGGCGCCAAGCTTAAGCCGTGGGTTTTTTTCAAGAGGAAGACGCTGCCGAAGGGCGACTTTCGGCCTGATAATTGAGGTTCTTGGACGTGCGTCGCACATGTTTAATGCTTTTTTTTTCTTCACTAATTTCTTGTTTCAATACCTGATTGTGCAGACGTGGTCGTGGCTGCCACGATAATGGGTGGATGGACGCCGCGGGCGTTATCCGCTGGCTCGAAGAGTGTGTCAAGCCGTTCTTGAAGCCGTCTTTCGGTCGGCACTCCAGCAGCTCCATGGTGGTTCTGGATTCCTACCGCGGGCACCTCACTGAGGGTGTGAAGGAGAAGTTTCGCGAGATGAACTGCGTGCCAGCGATCATCCCGTCGGGGTGTACGAGGGAGCCTCAACCCCTTGATGTCTCCGTCAACAAGAGTTTCAAGGCCTCCGTCCGTCAGCAGTACCAGAAGTGGTTCGAAGCGGAGGGGCAGGAACAGCTGACTGCAGCAGGTACGGTGAGACCGTGGTTTCTAGGTACGGCAGGCACGTTGCTATAAACCCCCCTTGGTTGCCCTAATCACCGTCGTTTCTTTGTGATATTGCAAGCAGTCTCAAGAAGCCGCCACCTGCCGTGGTTCTGAGGTGGATCTCGCGGGCCTGGAAGGCAGTGCCCGCCGACCTCATCAGGCGCGCCTTCCTCACATGTGGCATCAGCAACGCGCTTGACGGCAGCGAGGACCTCCTCGTCATGGTGTCGAAATAGCTAGGCAAGAATCAGGGATAGGAAAGAGGATTTTCACTAGCAGCAGTTGAGATACATATAGCAAACCCTAATTCGGGCTGTACTCGCTATAGAGTACCCCACTGCAGGCTACACAAACATCACATTTTGACACACCCCCATAGTCAAAGTGGGGTACAATCAACACAACAAGCAGGCAGATCAATAGGTCACTGTGTTAAGCAAAGCTAGAGGATATCACAGAGAGCAAGTGAGGAGGAGGGGAAATTGTGGGGGCGAGAAGATGCGAGACGACGGCTGAAGCTGCAAACACACGGGCAACAGGAGTGCGTAGAACTGTCGCTACCAGGCTAAACCCGGACTACACGGCGACAGGCGCAGCTGGCTCTCTGTGCTCCCACGAGTGCTCACACTGTGGCTACCGGGCGCAGAGCCCCGGACTACTCAGGCCATAGGGGGTCGTGGCTCTCTGGACTTCAGGCGCTGCGGACGACAAGTCGGCTACCTCCGGTCAACCTCCCCCAACTGTCCCACACCCCTTTAACACACTCCCCACTGAACCACTAGCACTGCTCACACGCCACCCCCCTCGTACCACTCCGACGGCTCCAACACATCCACCCCCCTCAGCGGTAGCTGCAGCAGTGGGAGACGGAGGAGGAGGAGGAGGAGCAGGGGATGGCTCACACACACGGCACCCCCATACTCTCCACCCCCAAACCCTAAGTCAGGAGCGCAGGCAGCAGCGGGGGTGGGGCGCGGTCAGAAGCTCGGGGGACGGCGTGCGGCACAAGGGCAGACGGTACGGGCCGCTCACGGGCCTGGCGCAGGCCGGACGAGCCGCGCGCGGGCTGCCTGAGTCGCGCACGGGCCTGGCGCAGCCCGTACGGGCCGCGCGCGGGCTATACGGGCCGCGCGCGGGCTTGGCGCAGCCCGTACGAGCCGCGCGCGGGCCTGGCGCAGGCCGTACGAGCCGCGCGCAGGCCTGGCGCAGGCCGTACGGGCCGCGCGCGGGCCTGGCGCAGGTCGCGCGGGCCTAGCGCAGGTCGCGCGGGCCGCTACGGGCGACGGGGGGCGACGTGCAGGTCCCTGGGGGCGCTGCGACGGGCGACGGGGGTCGACGCGCGGAATGACGGGGCAGAAAACTGCCGCGCGCCTCGGGGCGGGCGGCGGGCACAGCAGGGCGCGCGGCGTGAAGGAAAAACGCTGAGCGCTCCGAGCGCACGGCAGGAAGAAAACGGCGTGCGCCCGGGGTACGCTACAGGCACTAGAGCAGCGGAAGCATCGGGTGGGGCCCACCCACAGGATCGACCCATAAGGGTCGACCTGCTCTGATACCATGTCGAAATAGCTAGGCAAGAATCAGAGACAGGAAAGAGGATTTTCACTAGCAGCAGTTGAGATACATATAGCAAACCCTTATTTGGGCTGTACTCGCTATAGAGTACCCCACTGCAGGCTACACAAACATCACATTCTGACACATGGCGCACAGGCGGACGCAGCTGACCGCGGAAGTCGATGTCGACGACGGCATCATCGCCGATGGCTTCTTTGGCAACAACTGCTAGGAGCCCGAGTCTGACGAGGAGTAGATGCTTCCTTGGTAGATAGGCCTTAGTAAACGCCTATTAAATGAGTTAGAAGTAGGATGTTGTACGCAAAGTGCTTAACTTCTAATGGAAAGTGCATGAAGATGTTACGGTAATTGTTGTAGGTAAAAAAAAAAGAAAATGTTGAAGGTATGCGCTTATAATAAGTACGGGTACAAACAGGGGTGCGCTTATAATCGAGGAACGGCCATAAGCGCCATGCTCCAGATAGAGGCGCCGGCGTCTTTAATCGGATGGCGCCTATATCCGGGGCCATACGGTACATACATCCTCACATGCTAAGGTTCCGTGAGGCAGGGGTATGATAGTTTGGAAGGCTTAATGTCCCAATGGGGGCTTCAGGTGCATGTGCCTGCTTGATAGATGGAGACATGCAGACCCGTGTACTTGGATTTCACTAAAGAGTGCATGTGGATGCCTGTCGAAACACGATGGTACAGCACCTGCATTCAATGTATAGTGAAATCCTTTCATTATCAGTGTTGGGTGTTCACATTGCTTACTTTCTCTCGTTTAGTTAGCAGAGTATAAGAGAATCCAGAGACAAGTTACCGTAGCAGCAGTACAGTGCACTCCTTTCATGGTACTTCTTGTCAAAATGAGGAATGATGATGCCATTGATGTTGGTTGGGGTACATATAACAAACCCTAACTTCTGTACCCCCTAAGACAAACCTCACTACAGGCTACAACATTTGACACACCCCCATAGCCTAAGTGAGGGGTGTCTAGCAAAATAAAAAAAAAGAGTACGGCCACAAGACCAGTCCAAAAGAAAACAAAGCTCAGGGTGGATCACAACGTCACCACACTCTCTGAGCACAAGCAACAGTGGCCACAAGGCCAGTCCAAGAGATCACAAGTATATATAGCAAGAGTACAGACGAAGCAGGCAATAAACTCAAGCCTACACATGACTAGAACCTGTGTCAACAAGGCCTAACTGCACACAACACCTCTGGTGGTCACGAGGCGGAAGCGCCTTGGTGAAGATGTCTGCAGTGTTGGCCTCGGACTCCACAAACTCGAAGCGAGCCTGTCCACGTCTCTGCAACTGTCGCAGAAGAAAGTACCTGACGTGAATGTGCTTCACTCTGCTCTCCAGTCGCGGCTCACGACAGAGGAGGATCGACGCCTTGTTGTCAGTGAACAAGGTCGGTGCAGAGCTCGGCCGCTCACCAAGGTCGGCGAGCAAGAAGGTCAACCAACGCAACTCCTGTGCCGCCATGGCACCAGCGTAAATCTCAGCCTCAGCTGTAGAGGTCGAGATAGAAGAGGAGCGCGTGGAACGCCAGGAAACAGCTCCAGAACCCAGACTGAAACAGTACCCCTGAGTAGACCTGTGAGTCTCAGCGTCGTCAGCGTAAGAGGAGTCACAGTGACTAGTGAGTACGACAGACTGCTGCCCTCCAAGAACTAGCCCCACGCCTGATGTAGTCGCTAGGTACTTCGCCACCCTCACAGCTGCCGTCCAGTGAACAGGACGGTGTCTCCCTGGCGCAACAAAGCGCGCAAGGATGCTGAGAGGGAAGGCGAGGTCCGGGCGAGTACAAGTCATCAGGTACATGAGGCAACCCACAAGCTCTGCGTAGGGACCACTAGGCTCAAACGGCTCGTCAGGAAAGGGACCAGTGAGTCTGTGGTCAACAGCGAGAGGTGTGCGCTGTACGGTGGAGTGCTGAAGCCCGAACCGCTGAAGGACCTGCTGCACCATGTGTGACTGTGAGAGTGTAATGGTGCGAGCGGCTCTGTCCCTGGTGATCTGCAGGCCAAGGTAGTGGTGCAGCTCACCAAGATCAGTGCACGTGTGTCTCTTCTGCAGTTCGGACTTCACGTCTGCCAAAGCAACCCTGTCCGGAGTGGCGAAAACGAGGTCGTCGACGTAAACCAGAACAAAGAACGGTGTGGAGCCACGACGAACGAACAGCGACGGGTCGGCAGAAGACGGCTGGAACCCAAGGTCAGAGAGGGTAGAACGCAGAGTGTCGTGCCACTCACGAGGGGCCTGGCGAAGACCGTAAACAGGTCGCCTCAGCCTCTACTGGGTCCCAGGAGGGAAGGTGCCAGTGAAGGCCGAGGGACGACGCAACCAGACCTCCTCGTGTAGGCTGCCCTGAAGGAAAGCAGTGGAGAAGTCGAGAGAGTGTAACTCGTAGTCTCTCTGTGCTGCTACGTGTAGTAACACCCGAAGAGTGGTCATCTTCGGGGTAGGTGCGAAGGTCTGAAAGAAGTCAACTCCCTCGCGCTGACTGAAACCTCTAGCCACGTAGCGCGCCTTGAAGACCGGGGGAGATCCCGGTGGCCGCTTCACCCTGTAGATCCACATGCCGTCGACTACGTTCGCCCCAGGGGGGGGAACCTCATCGACGTAGGTGCCTGTGGATCTGTAGGAGGCCATCTCTGCGTCCATGGCAGCTCTCCACTGAGAGGCCCAAGGCCCTGACACTGCCTCAGCGTAAGTGCGAGGAGTCGGAATGTCAAGGGCGTCGGGGTCACCCTCAGGGGCGAGGAGCATGGCACAGAGATGAGGGGAAGCGGCCGCCAGGAACTCTAGCTCAAACTGCCTGTCCTCTAGGGCGTCACAGCCAAGGGCAGACACACCCCCGACGGCCAGAGGACTGGTAGGAGGAGCAGCCACAAGCGTGGTGGCGTAGGGTAGGGCGACGGGCTAGGGCGTAGGGTAGGGCGACGGGCCAGGGCGTAGGGTAGGGCGACGGGCCAGGGCGTAGGGTAGGGCGACGGGCCAGGGCGTAGGGTAGGGCGACGGGCCAGGGCGTAGGGTAGGGCGACGGGCCAGGGCGTAGGGTAGGGCGACGGGCCAGGGCGACGCGACGGGGCAGGGTGACGGGACGGGGCAGGGCGACGCGACGGGGCAGGGCGACGCGACGGGTGGAAAGGGCGCTAAGCGACGGGGGAGAGGGCGCTAGGCTCGGTACTAGGCGCGGTAACAACGGAACCGGTACGAACGAGAGGTAGGATCAGGCTCGGGAGGGACGAACGGAGAACGGAGGAACAGGATCCCACAGGATCCTAACCTAGCTGATACCATGTCAAAATGAGGAATGATGATGCCATTGATGTTGGTTGGGGTACATATAACAAACCCTAACTTTTGTACCCCCTAAGACAAACCTCACTACAGGCTACAACATTTGACACTTCTGCAGACCATAGTGTCACTCCAGCTAGACAGCATCACTCTGGCCAGACGGTGTCAATGACAATTGCCTACCGGTAACTTCATGCCCCAAAAGCTGTCATTTCCACTGCCAGGAGAGCATCAGCAGCAGCTGTGGGCCCCACTGCTGCCACTGGCACCACTATTGGGCAAGGCACAGCAGCAGCAGCAGTAGCAGTAGCAGAAGGGCCATGCTGGTGGCTTGAAGCAGGTGATTCATGGGAGGGTAGGGACTGCGCTCGGTTGTGCAAGGACTTGGAAAGATGAGTCTTGAGGGCGAGTGACAGGGCAGGAATGGGGATTGGCCCTCCTGCCGACACATACACACGGAGCATCTGTAGGGTTCAAGGGGAAGGGTCGAGGAGAGGGGGGGGGGGGGGGGGGGGGGGTAGGGAGGGGGACGGGGAGGGGGGGAACATAGAATAGTGTGTGCTTTTGTTTTCAAGGAAGGACGCAGTTCACCGGGAAAAGAGCGGGGAGTTGATCAAACGCACGAGGGCAAGGGCAGTCACTTGTTGGAGAGGAGACTGGAGATCTGGGTCCTAGCAGAGGGCAGGCAGGGCAAACATGGCACCGACAGACACACATGGCAAGTTGAGTTTTGAGTGCATGTCACCAGGGAGAATGCAGCAAGGCAGATTGTGAGTCGGATCAAATGCCACCATGGCAGACAATCCGTGGTGAGAGATGCATGGGTATGGCAGGTAGGTAAGGCCACCAAGGTGCATGCATGCATCAGGGACGCATAACATAGAAACCTCACCGCAACATCGGGCCAATCAAGTCGTGCCACGTGGAGGGCATCTGATAGCACTCGGACACATTCACCAGCAACCCCATCCACTAAGCTGCCATCAGCACATGACTCCATGCCCTCCCCTTCCCCTCCAGCTTCACTCCCTGCTCTGTCACCAGGGCGCCCTGCTCTGTCACCAGGGCGGCCTGTCCCCCCCGCACAGGGAGCAACAGAGAGGTTGGTATCACACCCTCCCCTCTGCGCCCCCCTAGCCTGTTCCACCCACAGGTGCACGCGACAGAACGCCCCTGCTGCTGCCATGCCCCGCCCGGCAATGCTCACCCCCTCCGCCCCTTCCCCCACTGCCACTCCCCCCTCTGCCACTCTCCTCTGCATCGCCCCCTCGTCTCCCTCTCTCCTCCCGGCTGCCTCCTCTGCCACACTCTCTGTGACCTCTGCCCCTCTCTCTGTGACCTCTGCCCCTCTCTCTGTGACCTCTGCCCCTCTCTGCCTGTCTGCATCTGCCGCATCACCCACAGCTCTGTCAACCTCATTTGCCCCTGTCTTTTTGTCTTCCTCTGCTGACTCGAGCCCTTCCTTTGCTTCGCCCAAGCTCATCCCTGCCAGCTGATTCCTTGGAGCTGACGTGTGGCCGGCTGTGTTTGACAGGTGGCAAGATGCTGACGTGGACAGGAGGTGCAGGGGGGTTAGGGAACTCGGCCACGGGGCAGCTGAGGTGGCAGAGGAGGTGGCAGAGGAGGTGGCAGAGGAGGAGGAGAGAGACGGGGTGGCAAGGAGAGGAGCAATCTCGACAGCAGCGCTGAGGGCAGGAGGATGGGCGAAGGGGAGTGCGGGACATGGGAATGGGAAAGGAGGGGGAGTTGGGCAGAGAGGGAAACGGGTAAAGAGAAGGAGGAGAGTGGTTGAGAAGAAAGGGGAGTGGTTGAGAAGAAAGGAGAGTACTGCTCCCTCAGAGTACTGCTCCCTCTCTTCCCTCTCCCTCCCCTGCTACTATGAGTTGAAGTGTGGAACTGCCTCAAGCCTTTGCCCACGCTTACTTACCCCTTGGCAGTTCCAATACAATGAGGCGCCTCAAGCCCCAAGGGCACACACTTACCCTTTAGGCAGTCCCAGCACCACCACCAGCTGCAGCAGCGGATCTGCTGCTATCACCCCCTCTCACTCCTCCTGCTGCAGCACATACTTACGCCCAATACTCTGAGGCGCCTCACCCCACAACAGCACACACTTACCCTTTTGGCAATCCAGGTACCACCACAAACTGCAGCAGCGGATCTGCGCTATCACCCCCTCTGACTCCTCCTGCTCCTGCTGCAGCACACACTTACACCCTGGGCAGTCCCAATACTCTGAGGCGCCTCACACAGCAAGCGCAACACTTACCCTTTAGGCAGTCCCGGTACCACCACAAACTGCACCAATGGATCTGCTGCTATCACCCCCTCTGACTCCTGCTGCTCTTCTTCGCTCTCCTCCCCCTCCATCTCCTCCTCCTCTCCCCCACGCTCCTCCTCCTCCTCCTCTCTCCCCTCTCCTTCCCCACCCTTCTCCTCCCTGCCCTCTTTCCCTCCATGCCCCACCACCCACCATCGCCCCACACCCCACACCCCCTCACCTTTACCCTCTTCTCTTCCTTCACAACCCCCTTTCCCTCCTCCACCTCCATTCTCCCCGTTTCCCTCTTCTCCGCCCCCCTCCCCACTTGTCCCCGTCCCACTTCCTACTGCTGCCCAAATCTCCCTCCTCTTCCTCCGGGCAGCTGCAAAAAACTCCTCAACTGCCCGTGCCACCTCCTCTCTCTCCCCAACACCCACATCCCGTGCCAAATACACTGTCATCGCGATACAGTCCCTCCCAACACTCAAACACCCCTTCCGAACCCATTTCCTCCACCCCTCTCCCCCACTTCCTCTCCTGCCACTCGCTCCCCCTCCACTCCCTCCCCCCCAACTCCCCTCCTCCTCACTCTCGCCCCCGCCCTTCCCCCACCCAACAGCCCCCCCTCTCCCCTTCACCACAGCAGCAACAGCCTCGCAGCTTCTCAGCGCCCTGTCTGCCTGCTGCCTCGCCCCCCTCCCGACCAGCTCCATAACGGCCGGGTGTAGACCCAGCTGCCCCGCCATCCACAGCACTCCCTTGTGGCTCGTGCACTGGGGGAGGGAGAACAAGGCGAGAGGGGCGATGGAGCGGGAAGAGGGGAAGGGTGAGAAGAATATTCTACATAGTTACAGCTTCTCAGCGCCCTGTATGCCTGTCTCCTCGCCCCTCCCTCCACCAACTCCATGACTGGCGGGTCCAGACCCAATTGCTCAGCCATCCGCAGTACCCCATTCAAACTCGTGCTCTGGGGGACGGGGGGGAGGAGGGGAGATGGGGAAGGGTGAGCAGAAATTCTATGAGCTCGCAGCTCCTCAGCGCCCTGTCTGCCTGCTTGTCTCCTCGCCAAAATCCCTTCCCCCCCCCCCCCCCACTAGCTCCATAACGGGCGGGTCTAGACCCAGCTGACCCCCCATCCACAGCACCCCATTGTGGCTCGTGCACTGGGGGAGGGCAGGAAGGGGGACGGAAAAGGGACGGGGAGGGGGAGGGAGAAGAGGGGGAAGGGGAAGCAAAGAACCATACATGGTTGCATTTTCTCAGCGTTCTGTCTGCCTGTCTCCTCTGCCTGTCTCCTCGCCCCCCCTGCCACCACCAGCTCCATAACTGGCGGGTCTAGACCCAGCTGACCCGCCATCCACAGCACTCCCTTGTGGCTCGTGCACTGGGGGAAAGGAGAGGAAGGGGAGGAGGGGAGACTGGGGGGAAGGGGAAGGGGGCAATGGGGAGGAAAAAGATACTTGATGGCAGCTCCTCCGCGCCCTATACGTTGCAGGGAGTTTTTGAGAATTATCAAAAACTCTTTTTGAGAATTCTCGGAAACTCTTTTTGAGAATTCTCGAAGAAGAAGATACTTGCTGGCAGCTCCTCCGCGCCCTGTCTGCGTGTCTCTTCGCCCCTCCCCCCACCAGCGCCATCACAGGCGGATCGAGCCAGACCCAGCAGACCCGCCATCCACTCCACAGCACTCCCTTACAGGCGCCATCCAGCATCACAGGCGCCATCCAGCATCACAGGCGCCATCCAGCATCACATGCGCCATCCAGCATCACAGGCGCCATCCAGCATCACAGGCGCCATCCAGCATCACAGGCGCCATCCAGCATCACAGGCGCCATCCAGCATCACAGGCGCCATCCAGCATCACAGGCGCCATCCAGCATCACAGGCGCCATCCAGCATCACAGGCGCCATCCAGCATCACAGGCGCCATCCAGCATCACAGGCGCCATCCAGCATCACAGGCGCCATCCAGCATCACAGGCGCCATCCAGCATCACAGGCGCCATCCAGCATCACAGGCGCCATCCAGCATCACAGGCGCCATCCAGCATCACAGGCGCCATCCAGCATCACAGGCGCCATCCAGCATCACAGGCGCCATCCAGCATCACAGGCGCCATCCAGCATCACAGGCGCCATCCAGCATCACAGGCGCCATCCAGCATCACAGGCGCCATCCAGCATCACAGGCGCCATCCAGCATCACAGGCGCCATCCAGCATCACAGGCGCCATCCAGCATCACAGGCGCCATCCAGCATCACAGGCGCCATCCAGCATCACAGGCGCCATCCAGCATCACAGGCGCCATCCAGCATCACAGGCGCCATCCAGCATCACAGGCGCCATCCAGCATCACAGGCGCCATCCAGCATCACAGGCGCCATCCAGCATCACAGGCGCCATCCAGCATCACAGGCGCCATCCAGCATCACAGGCGCCATCCAGCATCACAGGCGCCATCCAGCATCACAGGCGCCATCCAGCATCACAGGCGCCATCCAGCATCACAGGCGCCATCCAGCATCACAGGCGCCATCCAGCATCACAGGCGCCATCCAGCATCACAGGCGCCATCCAGCATCACAGGCGCCATCCAGCATCACAGGCGCCATCCAGCATCACAGGCGCCATCCAGCATCACAGGCGCCATCCAGCATCACAGGCGCCATCCAGCATCACAGGCGCCATCCAGCATCACAGGCGCCATCCAGCATCACAGGCGCCATCCAGCATCACAGGCGCCATCCAGCATCACAGGCGCCATCCAGCATCACAGGCGCCATCCAGCATCACAGGCGCCATCCAGCATCACAGGCGCCATCCAGCATCACAGGCGCCATCCAGCATCACAGGCGCCATCCAGCATCACAGGCGCCATCCAGCATCACAGGCGCCATCCAGCATCACAGGCGCCATCCAGCATCACAGGCGCCATCCAGCATCACAGGCGCCATCCAGCATCACAGGCGCCATCCAGCATCACAGGCGCCATCCAGCATCACAGGCGCCATCCAGCATCACAGGCGCCATCCAGCATCACATCACAGGCGCCATCCAGCATCACAGGCGCCATCCAGCATCACAGGCGCCATCCAGCATCACAGGCGCCATCCAGCATCACAGGCGCCATCCAGCATCACAGGCGCCATCCAGCATCACAGGCGCCATCCAGCATCACAGGCGCCATCCAGCATCACAGGCGCCATCCAGCATCACAGGCGCCATCCAGCATCACAGGCGCCATCCAGCATCACAGGCGCCATCCAGCATCACAGGCGCCATCCAGATCGTGTGCGCCCCATCCAATCAAATGGAGTGCTGGAGGAGAGGAAGGGAGAAGCCCCTCAGCCACCCCGTTGTGCCTCGTGCCCCTCAGCCACCCCTCAGCCTCCGCCATTTGCCCACAGAGGGAAACAGGGGGAGATGGGGAAGGAGGAAG